TCTACCCAGCATCAGGATCTTCCCACCAGGGGTCCCTGTCTCCCGCCTCTGCCACTCCCGGGACACCCCCAGTTTCTGAGAGATAGTGGCTCCTTGTAGGACAAATGAGGAAGTGGCCCTGGGGAAGGAAGTGGGCTGGGCTTTGACCCAGAGTGTGTATGATTCATGGGGAAAACCTGTTCCAAAGCCACCTCGTCTGTGGGCTAAAGGGCCAGTGCCCACTCGGCAGGGTCACAGGATCACCCGGCGCAGTCTGGTGAGCACAAGTGTAGACCCCTCCACCCACCCCACCCCTGTCTCAGCAGACCTCCATGAACTCCCGAGGGCGCCAGGGTGTGTGTGCAGGCTTCAGTGGGGACCCAGGGGTGACCTCATCCTGCCCCCGTGAGAGGTGATGAGCTAGGAGGGAGGTGGCCCTGGGCTGGAGACAGCGGCTCCACCATAGAGCGCCTGCGTAGACGCCACCTGCGCGGGCTCTGAGGCTGGGCCACCCTGGCCCTTTCACTGAGATGTTCCAGTTTCCTTTCCAGTGCTTTCAGAAAACACCCTGAGAAAAAGCAAGTTTGGGGAGAAAGTGCTTATCGGCTCAGGGCTCGAAAGTCCAGGGTGGCAGGGAAGTAAAGGCAGGAACTGAAAACAGCTGATCACATCACACCGCAGCCGGAAGAGAGAAATAAACCCACGGTTCATGCTCAGGAGTCTCTCATTTCTCTCTCTCTCTCTCTCTCGTGCAGCCCTAGCAGTCCTGGACCCCTATGTGGGCTAGGTTGGCCTAGAACTCAGAGATCCTCCTGCCTCTGCCCCAAAGTCTAGGGTCAAAGGCGGGCGCCACCATGGTCTGCTTTCTGAAATCTCATTCAGCCCAGAGCTCCAGACCAGGCAATGTTGCTCGCCTCCCTCACTTTCAGGCCGGCTCTTTCCAACACCCCCAGATACCCCCACCCCGATCAAGCTGCTCAGAGGCCAGCCCTCAACTTCAGCCTTCCTTGTCTGAAATGAGTCTCTAACATGTAGACGGACGCACTAAAATGATTCCGTGGCTTGGATTTGCCTTCAAACACCCGCCCCCCAGTTCCCAAGTCCCAAATCATGTGTTCCATCCTCCATAGCCAGTACATGCAAGAGGGGCTGAGTTCGAATCTCACAAACCAGTTAAAATCTGGGCTTGATCCTCCGCACCTATCACCCCAGTGCAGCGGGAGGCAGAGACAGGAGGGTTTGCTGGGACTGGCGGCTGCTGTCCTGGCTCTAGAGTCAGCGAGAGACCCTGTCTTGAGGGAATGGTAAAGATGTGAACCCTATGTCTCCCTCTGGGGGCAGGGTTGAAACGCACAAATGCACCTGAAAACACACACAGAATAACACAGAATAATTTAAAAAGGAGGAGGAGGAGGAGGAGGAGGAGGAGGAGGAGGAGGAGG